TGTGTGTGTGTGTCATCCATATCCTCAGGAGGGTCAACCCAGAACTGCCTCAAGGTTTTACTTCAATTTCAGGTTTGGTAGCTTTAGAGACATGTCAATAAGCTATAAAACTCTGAAGGCTCTGTGGTTCTGTAGGTTGTTTTCCCTGCAGAGGGAGAGTCATCTGCAGCGGCACACAGTTGGATTCGCGTTTCGGTCACGTGGGAATGCAGTGGAAGCCTCCTGCAGGTGCTGTGATCAGTCGTGTAGCTCGAACAAAGCATGCTCGCCCACCTTTTAGTCGACCACACCGCAAAACCACAACGACACCATCACTTTGGGGTTCACAAACTTTTTTGTTTTTCTCATTTTTTTGTAAGCTTAAACTATTTGTATTAATATCCTAAAGTGAGCACTAGCCTTTCACTTAGAGTTGCTTCAATTTTATTTATTTTATGTTGTTTTTTTCCCCTCTTTTTTCACTGCTTTTATTTCAAGGCTTAATTCTGCTGTTTTAGAGCAATCACAGAAGCTTGCTATTTTCTTCTCTCCGGTTATTGTGTATTGCCTCCCACACCCCGTTGTTTTTCCCCTCATGTTTGAGTTTGAATAGGGCCCGCCTGGTAACTTCTTTACAAGCCACCCCAACAAGGTTCCAATAAAGGTTAATATGTAGTACTTGGCTGGAGTTGCCTGGTCAAATGGATGGAAACTGGTCTTATTATTCACTCAATGAAAAAAAGTCTTAGGCTCCAAATGCATGAATGCACAGCTTGGTGTCATCATGAACATGTGGTCCAGGTTTAGGACATTAAAGCAAAGAACGATGGTGTGTGTGCCCCTTGTTGGGTGCCTTTTGTGTATCTGCTCTTAAACTGGATTTTCATGTATACACTGTCATATAAACACTGTCACCAAATGCAAAGTTATCAAGAAACTGACGCTGCTTTTTGGTTGATTTTTACACCATTACAAATTATAAGAGGTGCACTTTTAGTATTGATGGAAAGTTTTATTTAATTTTTTTTTTTTTTTTTTTTAAACATCTTACTGTTTTACTCCTGAATGACAAAAACAGTAACTCGGTTAAATGAATGAAAGTGTACCGGATGAAAATTGTCTCTGTCAGGATGACCTGACTGTTCCATTTCCAGTGTTGAAAAGATGCTCCCCTTGTCCTTGGTGTTTCTTAATTAAAAACAAAATTCATGTGCTATTTGTAACTTTGTGAGTTTTCTTTTTTCTCCACTGCATTTCTGTCTTCACTTCTGCACTGAGAGGTTTTTCATGTGGAGCTTTTTTTTAAATCATTTTTTTTGCACCAAATCACATGACTGTTCACAAATACTCTGCTGTAAGGCACAGATAAGCCTTTAACTTGGTCCCTGAAGAGATGCTGATTACACAACTTGTTTAGAAATCAGGATCTAAAGGCCCCTCACAGAGGTTACACCCAAAATAGGCTTCCAAAATCAACCTGTCCCATGACTTCAGTCCTCTCATCTTACAGAGTTGACTTATTTTTTGCTACATTGCCTTGACAGTGGATAAATAAAACATAATTTTAACAAAAAAGTTTTTTTGAAAGAGTCAAAGGTTGGGTGGGCTAAACTATGACAAGAGTTGTTGATACTGACATGATATTAATTCTGTACATGGTTATAACAGTAGCATACTCTGTATCACAATCAATAAACACCATACTTTTAAGCAGAGCAGAGATATATTATTTAGATTAAAAACTTGATGTAAATTACACATTGATAAGCTACAGTTGACATAAACTGTCATGAACTTCAGCATTGTAAAAATAAAATAAATAGTTCTTCATTGTTTTAATTTAATTTCCTGTTATTTTACAGAGTTTCTGTAATTTTCCTGTTTTGTTAAATTACAGACAATAAATAGAAAAATCACAAAAAAAGGTATTAATATATGTTAACTGTAATATAAAAAAAAGAGGCCAAAACTGAAAATACCACCAGCATCAACCATCTGTATTTTTACAGATTGTAATTTTTGACTGTAATTGTAATTTTGTCCTATATTTAAATATGCAAAAAATCATTTCATTTCAAATCATTTGACAGATATTTGCTGTTATTTGAACAAAGAAGTCATGTATATTAAGAATTTAAAAATGGTAAATATTTTTTGTAACTGTCATTTTACAGATTTGGGCCTGTTTTGTGTAATTACAGATAATATCTAGTAAAATAGCAGAAAAAAAGTTGTCATTTACACGTTGACTTCAAAAAACAAACAGACAAACAATAAAGCAGGCCAAAGCTGTGTATATCGTCCACATCAAAAAAGAAAAAAAAAAAAATCATCGTAATTTGATGTGGCACTATGAAATTAAACTGTTTTATTGTGTTAAAACCCCACTAAAAATATATCATTTTTGTTGTTGTTTTCGATATTTTTGATAGTTTTTGAACATTACATTAGTCCAGCATTTTTGTAATGTATTTTTTAATGTTGTTGTTTTGTTGCCAGATTTTCAAATTTCTGTTTTTAAGTCTTTTTGTGTGTGTTTTTGTATTTAATCCTAAAGCAAACTAAACATCTGACAGTACCATCAATAAACTGGGATAATATAACCATATCAGGACCATGACAAGGGCTTCACCGGTTCACTACAATTGGCTGTGTGACATACAATAGAATAGAATAGAAAAATACTTTATTTATCCCATTCTATTATATTGCATGTCACACAGCCAATTGTAGTGAACAGGTAAAGCCCTTGTCATGGTCCAAGCTGGAAGCATGAAGGCTAATCTTTTGTCAGCCTGTCGAGGAACAACAACATGGAGGTGGGATTTGAGGTGCTCCATTTTCACATTACGGTGATAATGTATGAAAACATCACATATACAATACAGTGCACATTGATTCCAAAATCAGGGAAGTCTATTGTGTATTCTCCGTTTCATCTCTTCAGATAATAGGAAACAAGAGCCCTTCTTCTCATTATACTTTTTAAAAGGACTTTCTAATCAAAGTTGCAGATAATTTTCACATCACATCTAATGAATCAGCACTCTTGCACAACCATTGTTTCAGGAGCTAATATGACTTAACATATTCTTCCAAGTGATTTTCATACTTGCATTACAAAATCTATAACGAACTTGTGGTTTACAAGCTTCATAGAAAGAAAGACTTTAAACTACCTTCATCATAAGAACTGCAACATTCTCAAATTATGTGTAGAAAATAAGCAATTCAGCCTGCAAACAGTCTTCCAAGGTAAGGTAAGATGCTATCAAACTGCATGATGAGAGTGTATGATCGAGTGTTTTTGTAGATCGACCTATATTAAGCACTAAATGTTTGGATATCTTGGTCTGCGTTGCTTCCGTTTTGACAATTCCTTTTTAAAGTTACCCAAATTTATAGAAGTGCCTCACCAAGTCACCAGAGTACTCCTTTAATCAAAAGCCTTTTTATATCTTGAAAGATCAAATTGCTAAGAACCCCTTCCAAGAAATATCACAGTGTCGGATTCATGATATTTATATTACGTGATTCTTGTTTTTTTTTTTTCGTTACTGTAAGCGATTTGTTCACATCAGAATAGCATAACACAGTCCTAACGTTCAAAGCATTTCTGGAGCCAAAGTACAACTTGAGCCGATATGCAATAGCTCACTTCAGTGTTGTTTAGGAAACATGTCAGAGCGTACAAGATGCACTGAGCCAGCATCTTTTCATTGACCTCCTTTCTTCAACACATCGCTGAATGAAAAAGCCCTCATATATCATGACTGCGTGTCCTTGCTTCAGCAG